GGTTCACTATAATATTTAAAACAAGTCTGTGAAATTTGGCGGGAAACGAAGTTGATTTGACGTGATTCGGACGTCCAGTTGAGAAAATAAAAATTTTAAAGTGTTCTTGAGAATTTCATTTGAATTGGTGCTAAATTTAGAGTTCTAGGTGTTATTTTGGCGATTTGATTGTGCGAGCAAGTCCATATGATATTTTTAGACTTGTGTGCATGTTTGGTTTGGAGCCCTGAATTGTTGGTAAGTGATTCTAAACTATTTTCTTTGAGTTACCCATTACATATCTTGAATTTTCAACCTAAAATCTAGAGTTTTCATGATAGAATTAGGGGTTAGAGTAGGAAATAGGAATTTCGGGAATTTGGGAATTTAGACCTCAACTTGAGGTCGGATTCCAAAACTAATTACATATTCGGGCTCGGGGGTGAATGGATAAAAATATTTTGGTCCAAACCTCGAATTTTGACCAAGCGGGCCTGGGGTCGATTTTTCGACTCTTTGGAGAAAAAATTGGAAAATTTAATTTATGAAATATCATTGATTCCTTTAGCAATATTTGATATTATTGAGTCATTTTTGAATAGATACGAGTGGTTTGGAGGTGAATTCCAAAAGAAAAGTTGTGATTGAGAATTAAGTGGCCTTCGGAGCGAGGTAAGTGTTGTATCTAACCCTGACTTGAGGGAATTAGGAACCCTAGATTACTTGCTAAATGAAATTCCTGTGAGCGGTGTATATGTGAGGTGACGAGTACTTATGCGCCGCCAATTTACTTGTTTTTTCATGTTTCTCAGTTTTTCTTATATTGTCTCATTCCTATGCCTAATTGCTATGTGTTAAACTAGTGTTGTTCAATTTATCATTCTGATCATGTTTACGAATTTTCTGGTGATAATTGAGTTTTTATTTCAAAGTTGAGATTGATGTTATGGAACCAAATGTTAAAGTAAGGTTTGTACTTGTTATTCTATCTCCCTGTTGATATTTATGCATTACATTGTGGTAAGGGAGAGTGTTAATGCACGAAGGGTAATGTCGTGCCATATTGTTAGTGTTAATGCACTAAGGGTGATGTCGTGCCATATTGTAAGTGTTAATGCACGAAGGATGATGTCGTGCCATATTGTGAGTGTTAATGCACGAAGGGTGATGTCGTGCCATGATATGAGAGTTAACGCACGAAGAGTGATGCCGTGTCGTTTCTATTAATTTTATGGTGAGATTGAGAGTAAAAGCACGAAGGGTGATGCCGTGCATTTTTCTTTACTGTATTCACTATTCCTGTTGATTCATGGTATATTGACTGCTCCGGTGATCATTTTGTTGTAGTTCTTTATCTTGTATTCCCCTCAGTATGTCTCCCCTCCCGACATTTCCTATTTAGTTCTTCATTCCTGTTATTTAAGTATACACTGTTAAATTGTGCAGGTTGATTGTAGGTGCCTTGCCTTTGCCTCGTCACTATTTCATCGAGGTTAGGCTCGACACTTACCAGTACATGGGATCGGTTGTACTGATGCTGCACTCTGCACTTTCTGTGCAGATTTTGATACCGGCTCAGGTTGATCGAGATTTGCTATTAGTCCGCTGTCCGGAGACTCAAGGTAGATCTGTCTCACAAACCTTGAAGTCCCCGTCTATCTTTTTATGTCCTATTCTTTTCTTTCATTCAGACAGTTGTATTTCTTTCAGACTATTACTTATAGTAAATTTTAGAATGGTCGTGAATTATGACACCAGATCCGGATGGTAGTAATTAATACAGTTTTATGATATTCTGCACTTATTATATTTTATTTTACTTAATTATTGTTATTTACTGAATGGAAATAAGGAATTGGTTTAATGATTCTCTAACGTTGGCTTGCCTGGCAAGTAAAATATTTGGCGCCATCATGGTCCCATCGGTGAAAAATTTCTGGTCGTGACAGAAATATTTGTGATTCTCTTATGGGATGTAATATTTAGTTAAATATGAAGTGCTCTATTTTTATTAACTTTAAATAATAGGTTGTATGATTACTTTTTTATCAAGTATTAGTGAAATGCGTCAATCTCTTTGTTCTTCCATATTCATATGTCAAGATCTATTAAATTCTTATATCTTTTTTCGGATTTGAAGTGCTATATATTTCGATAATTTAAAATTAAATAGAACATATCATTATATAGGTATCATATTGATTTTTATGTTTAATTATTAAATTCAGTTAATCTTGAAAGTGTATATCAACGAAAAATTATTGCGAGACGACTAAAAAATAACTATGATATATTACTAAGAAAATTCTCTCATAAGAATATGTTAATAGATCGTATTTATGTCAACCTATTCAATTTTTATTAAATATATATTTGCTTATCAAAAATTTAACAAAGTAAGATTAAAATAATATTCATATAACAAAAAAAAATCGAAAAATCCGACAAAAACGAACCAATCCAAACCGATATAGTTGGTTTGGTTTGATTTTGATAAAAATTGAACTAACTCGGTCCATGAACACCCTTATTGCATAGCAAAGGATTTCACACATGCAGCTCTCCATGCATTAATGATTTTGTTGCGTTTTATATTGCTGAAGTACTTCTAAGAGCTGTAGCCTGTACTTTAATGCTGCTTGCCACTTTGACTCATTGTTCCATGGTCAGAAATTGAACTACCTAAAGAATGTCACAGTCGACGGAATGGCATTGATCATACGAATTTCATTTTCCCTTCTCTTCTGGTCTTTGCTTTCAATATGAAAAGGAAGAAGCATTTAGTGCACAACAAAGGCTACGACCGAAAAATTCTGACTCTAGAAATTATCATTGTCATCAATAAACCCAACCTAAGTTGTGCGCCTAATTAATATCATGGGGAGAAACCAATTAAATCTGTTGAAGTTGAAAAAGACTTGTATATGCTCGCTGTGTTTATCCTCCATGTCTGCTTGTAGAAATTATTAGACAATTCTATCAGATGGAATTAATACCAGAGGTTCCCATGGTTAACTGTAGCTATAAAACAATTTTTATTCATCACTCGAATTTAAGTCTCTTACAACAATAGCAAGAAGCTAAAATGGAAGTTCAATTATTTATTTATTTATTGGCAGTTTGGCTCCAAGAAAGGAGAGGGAAAAGGAAAGGAAAGTGAAGCCAGTTTCCATCAGCTAGAGTCGTGCTAATTTTCTAGTTTGGATATTTTGGTTTCATATTATATCAACTTTAATCTACTTTTCAATGTAAGGCTAAAAGCAAGCGGAATCAGTGGACACAAGATAACGAGTAGATGGATCACAAGTAGAAATTCTAACTCTCAATGGGACCATACTGCTAGAAATTAAGAGATCATTTTGTTACCACTTACTAATATAATGATGTTTACTTGCATAAACTGCAGAAGATTTCATTGAACTACAAACTGCATGCTTTTAAGTAGTATATATTTGGTATAAATTGGAAATTTGAACCTAAATATTGCACGATGGAGTTGCAAGTTGCAACCGTGATGATGCAAATCTAATTTCATATTGTATTAAACAATTAGCTATACAAAAATATTGGTTAAAAACAGTGCTAAAGTTGCTCTTAATTATTTTAATCTGGACGCACTTCCTGGGAATTGAACGCCAATTTTCTATTTCTTTCCGTCAAGGTTGAGAATGAGATCTTAATAAGTTGAAAATTATATAGTCAATAACTAACCTTTTGTCTCTAACCTTCATATTATCCATTGTCACATCCATATATACCAATAAAGAAAATGAAAAGATAGAGAAAACCCCTCCTTTGTTTAGTCTCGAGAAAGTCTTTATACGCTAGTTGAGTTTGGTTCAGTTTGACTGGTATATTTATTCGCATTTGCCACTTAGACCAACTTTCGTTAATTTTCTTCATCTCTTTTGCTTTTCACAAGTCTCATTTCCGAATTACCGAATAGTACATCTGAGTATGGATTATTAGTATGCAGTAATAACTAACATAATATATAGTTATTATTTGGTATAACTAAGTTCATAAAAAAAAATTGAAAATGATCTAGAACGAGTAACTCCTGCTTCTGTTATCGCGACTTATAAATCCGTAGGTAATTATAATTCATTCGATTTTCTTAAACACGTTTAAATCAATTATTTAATCTATGACCCACTTATTTAAACATATTAACTAACTCCAAACTTAACGTATATAAAAGACATAAACAGAACCTCAGGACTGGGTGTTTAAATTCTAATTATCACTGAGGGGCCAAAGTTTTCAAATACACTTCATCAACAGTAAGAGGTCCACATCAAATGCGAAAAGCACAAACACGAAATTAATTGTAGTAATAAGGAACTCAGCTAGGTTTTCATTCTTTTATAATAAATAAAATTTAGAAGTCCTCTAAAGGTAAATAGATTCCTTTCATCCATTTCCTATGTTGAGGAACTATTCTAATGTTCAGAATAGTATTTTGAGAAAGAAAAAACACATTCACCTTCTGTAACAACTACGCCTACAAAAGGCAGTTAGCTTGATGCTTAATCTTTGCTAGATTATAAGAAAAGCAGAACAGGAAAGGAACTACAACCGCAATCTAAAAGATAAAAGACTGCAAATGGATTAATTTCAGGGGCAAAGTTTTAACCAAATGCCATAGACCACCACAAGACAGCTTGTCGATATCACAACCCAACTTTACCCTTCACAGCTGCAGTTGGTGTTGAAATTTGCTGGAACTGAGGTCAGGTGAATGTGGATAATATGTTGTTCCTAGAGAAGCTAGAACTGAGAAAGGCAATGGCACCGCTCAATGCACAAGAGCAACAGGAATTAGAGACCAATGAAATAAACTACATTCAGCAAATAAAATGCTCTACTATAAGCCTCAACAGATCATGTCATCTTGTTTTGCAAATTGAACACTTCTTCTAGTAAGCTCATATGTGTCGAACATCTGAGTCAACCTAGAGAAGAGGGGAAACAGGTGCACAGATATATGTAAAACTAGTATAAATTCGGACGATGAAAAGTGATTCAAGAAACAGCATAACCGATTATAGTTGCATCAACAATTAGCACCATCATCACCTATTTTAATCTACAAGTAGATTTTGATGTTCCAGTACATTTGTTAAGCTAGTTCAGGAATAAAAAATTGGAGAAAATGAGGTTCATTCACCAAATCCATAAAGCAACAAGGCCACCTATAACATAGATCAGAACAAGAGAAAAACTTACAAGCAACCAAAGAAGACTGCTTCACCTAATGGCAAGTCAACTAGTAGAAACAGATGACGCACACTGCAAGTTTTTGAGCTCAGCTTCTACCTTCTTCACATCAAAGTAATCCTGAAGTGCTGTCATCTTAATCTTGTTGCATTTCAAGCTTTTAATTGCATCCGCGGTGGCCAAAGCCCCTGCAACTGTAGTTATTACAGGTATCTTGTACGCGAGAGCCATCCTTCTCAGCTTCCGGCCATCAATCTGATCAAGTGTGTCCCCTGAACTTGTGATCACCATCAACTGAATCTGCCCATTGGCAATGAGATCCGCAGCATGTGGCCGCCCTTCATGCATTTTAAGCACTCGTTCCACTGGCATGCCTTCTAATTCAAGTACACGTGCAGTTCCAGAAGTTGCAATGATTTGAAATCCAATCCCCAAAAAGGCTCGAGCAATTGTGGTAAGTTGAGGTTTTGTCAATTCATTTAAACTGAGGANTGTGATCACCATCAACTGAATCTGCCCATTGGCAATGAGATCCGCAGCATGTGGCCGCCCTTCATGCATTTTAAGCACTCGTTCCACTGGCATGCCTTCTAATTCAAGTAC